ATATGGTGTGGCAAAACACCCTCGTACAAGTGTTTAAAAGTATGGGGTTGTACTACTTATGTGAAGCAGTAGTGGGAGGTAAGTTGGATATGAGATCCATCTTATGTAAATTTCTGGGGTATCCAAAAGAGTCTATTGGATACTATTTCTATGACCCCTCTGAAAAAAAGGTGTTTGTTTCGAGGAATGTTGTTTTCTTAGAGGAAGAGTTTCTCTCAAAGAATAGTGGAGTCATAGAACTTAATGAAGAACCACAAGAAATTCCACAAAATACCACAAATAATATACCAGTAGAGACTGGACCATCTGTAACACAACCTCTTCGGAGATCTGAAAGGATTCCTAGGGCGCCTGAAAGGCTATACCTATTGTTAGAGAACAATGAAGAGGGACTCCTTTGGAATTCACTCATTTCTCTTTTTCTTAAAAGACGCTTGTGGTACCGGAGCTCTCTATCCCGAGGCGGGGCTCTCTTAAGTAGTCTCCGAAGCACAATGAAAATGAACCGACTAAGACTAAGCGCGTAGACGCTTTCCAGTGGTAGTTGCGTCAAGCTGCAGCATAAGCGCCAACCTGATAATGATCCAATAAGCTATGATGAGGCAATGTCGTACATTGACTCAGATAAATGGCAAGAAGCTATGTAATTCGAGATAGACTCCATGTATTCAAACAAAGTATGGACTTTGGTTTTTAATCCACCACAGGGTATAGTACCCATAGGTTGTAAATGGGTTTACAAACGAAAACGTGGTGGAGATGGAGAAGTAAATACTTTTAAAGCAAGACTGGTTGCTAAAGGTTATACTCAAAAACAAGGAATTGATTATGAGGAAACTTTTTCACCAGTAGCAATGCTTAAATCTATTCGGATATTGCTAGCCATAGCTGCGTATTATGACTACGAGATATGGCAAATGGATGTGAAAACTGCTTTCCTTAATGGAAACATTAAGGAAGACATTTATATGAAACAACCGCAGGTTTTCATATCCAGTGGGAGCGAACAAATGGTTTGTAAGCTTCAAAGGTACATTTATGGACTTAAACAAGCTTCAAGGAGTTGGAACAATCAGTTTGATGAAACGATCAAAACGTTTGATTTTCATCAGAATCAAATGCAGTTGCATTTGTTGTTCTATATGTTGATGATATACTACTCATTGGGAATGATATAGGAATGTTACAATCAACACGGACATGGTTGTCTAAGCAGTTCTCCATGAAAGATTTGGGAGAAGCATCCTTTATCCTAGGGATAAAAATCTATAGAGATAGATTTAAAAGGA